TCCCTTGTGCAAGTATTAGTGATACATTCTTGTGCTTGTAAAGTACCTACACAGTACATTGTCCATTAAAGATAAGGTGGCTTTGAAGCCACTGTCAGTTGCCATGACCTCAGTCTCATGATGCAGGAGAATATGCTTTATTATTATGCAAATATCAACACTACAGCTTATTTGCCTGTCACAATTGATCTAATATGACATAATAAACAATATAAATAGCATAAAAACGTGTTAAGTACAGGTCCTCCATCACAAATCCGGCGTCTTTGGGACCTGTAGTGTGCCGGATTACTGAGTTTGCCGGATTACAGAGTGGTTAGGTTAGAATACACTTAATAAAATTAACCAACTTGACTTCCACAAAGTTCATTGAACATCGGCAAAAATCGAACATTTCTGCTACTTTGAGCTCAATTTCAAGGTACTTTTCGTCATGAAAGCAATCAAAATCATGTCTGTTTCTGTAATATATCTTCCATTCTATCAAATGAGTCCAAAAAAATGAGAATACAACCATAAAAACCATACAAAAATATACTGCAAAGAGGCAGCTAATGGCTGAGAAGTGGACTCCCTTATTTATCGTCCGTCTTTTTTATTTTTGTTGTACGTTAAGAAGCATCTTTCCCTCATACATTGCCCAAGTTTCAATGGGATAGCCCAACAAACCGAGAAAAAAAAAAATTTACCAAAACTCATATATGGCAAGCCCAAGCCAGGTACTGGAAATAAGTCACTTTGACTTTTTTTGGGTTACCCTAGGTTCTCTATACATACACTGCTATGTATGATAATCTATGTAACTGTATTTGTGTATACCTGAATAAACTTATTTACTTCTAGTCTGTCAAATGAGTACAAGAAACCGCCCATTGACTTATTTCAGCTACCCAATAAAGTGGTCAGAAATTGGTAATTTGGCCGATTTCACACAAATTTCAACAGATGCCAGTTTCAAAATAGGGTCCAGAATAACCAATGCAGACATTCCTGGCACTAAAATAACATTTTCTCTGTTAATTAGTCACGGCTACAAGCCCCTCTTATATTACTCTTGCTTAGCATTTGTAATTTTTATTCACAAAAAAAAAAAAAAATAGAAGATTTACTGTTATGCAGACTGCTGCATTATTGTAATAATTGTATAAATAATGTCAACTCATTCTTGGCTCTGTATTGGAATTTGGACTGGCAGGCAGACAGGTATTGGACGGTGACGTCATTTGTTTACTCTTGAGCTTCGCTAAAGAATAGAACATTTTCGCTACTGTGAGCGCAGTTTCAAGGTACTTTTCATCATGAAAGCAATCAAAATCGTAATTATTTCTGTAATATATCTTTCATTCTATCAAATGAGACCGAAAAAATGAGAATATAACCATAAAAACCATGCAAAAATATACCGGTACGCGGCCGCTAATGGCTGAGAAGTGAACTCCGCTATTTATGGTCTGATTTCTTTCATTTTTGGTGTACGTTAAGAAGTACAGTGGACCCCCGCATACCGTTGGCATCACATAACGTTTAATCCGCATACCGCTCGCTTTTATCACAAAAATTTTGCCTTGCATACCGCTCAAAAACCCGATCACCGCTGTTCGTCCGAGACGCTTCCAATGTGCGCCCTTAGCCAGCCTCACATGTGCCGCCGGTGGCATTGTTTACCAGCCAGCCTCCGCGGTAACATCCAAACATTACAATCGTAACATTTCGTATTAACAAATTTTTTTTTTTTACAGTGTTTTGGTGATTTTATCTGCAAAATAAGTGACTCATGGGCCCCAAGAAAGCTTCTATTGCCAACCCTACAGCAATAAGGTAGAAATTACTATATAGGTGAAGAAAAAGATCATTGAATAAGTATAAAGTGGAGTGCGTGTCCCTCCGAACTGGCTAGGGTTTGTAAATAAACCCCAATCAACCATCGCTACTATTGGTGTTACGCTGCTGCTGCTGCTGTACCACCGTCATCTGCTGCGCTTGCTGCACTGTCAGCTCTGCTGCTGCTGCTGTTAGCACCCATCAGCTGCTGCTGCTGCCTGACCACTGCATGCTGATGCGCTGCTGTAAGTACCGTCTGCAGCTGCGGTAGCACGTCTGCTGCTGCTGTAGGCACTTGTCAGCTGCTGCTGCTGGTTTACCACCGGTCAGCTGCTGCTTCGGTAGGTACCGTCCTGCTGCTGCTGTAGTACCGTCGCCTGCTGCTGTAGCATCGTCCTGCTGCTGCTGTTCACTGTCAGCTGCTGCTGCTGCTGCTGTAGCACCGTTGTTGGTGTGCTTATTGAGAATACAAGAAACAATTAACCCCCAGAGGATTTGCCACCCAGGATAACCCAAAAAAGTCAGTGTCATCGAAGACTGCCTAACTTATTTCCATTGGGGTCCCTTAATCTTGTTTTCCCAGGATGCAACCCACACCAGTCGCTAACACCCAGGTAACAGGGAAAATGCCTGCAAACTAGTACTCATATTGTAATTTAAAGCCAGCAAAGGTTGTATATGAGAGCTTTAAGAATCGTAAGTGCATACACAGTGTATAAGGCCTGTTCTGGAAGAAAATGCCAACAGTGAACCTACAATACTCAGGAGAAAGGCAACTCCCAGGACACAGTGTCTCATCATCCATTGCTGCATCTTCAATAAGGTAAGTGTCATTTATTCTTCCATATTAGTAAGTAAGTAACCTTCACAATATATTATTGTGAGCATGTACTACTCTAACAATTGTGCATGTACCTTTCTTTGTGTGTAGGAAAATGGGTATATTTCATGTGTAAAAAATATTTTTTCATACTTTTGGGTGTCTTGCACGGATTAATTTGAATTCCATTATTTCTTATGGGGAAAATTCATTCGCATACTGATCATTTCGCATAACAATGAGCCCTCTTGCACGGATTTAAATCGCTATCTGGAGAGAGTTCCGGGGGTCAACGCCCCCGCGGCCCGGTCTGTGACCAGGCCTCCTTAGGTCAGTGTCCCAGGATGCGACCCACACCAGTCGACTAACACCCAGGTACCCATTTTACTGATGGGGAACATAGACAACAGGTGGAAAGAAACACGTCCAATGTTTCTACTTTGGCTGGGAATCAAACCCAGGCCCTCACCGTGTGAAGCGAGAGCGTTAACCACCAGGCCAGGAATGATCTATGCGGGGGTCCACTGTATCTTTCCATCAATTTTGAGTCCTACTTTAGGCCAGTTACATTGTTCCATTAGCTATTTCACTAGTATGCTTTCCATTTAACCATAACAACTACCTAATCAAGTGACCAGAAATTGGTAATTTGTCCAATTCTAAACAAAATTTAAAAATGCTGATTTCAAAATAGGGTCCAAAATAAACAATGTAGACATTCTTACTGCTAAAACAACATTTCCTCTGTTCATTAGTTACATCCCTAGGCTTCTCTTATATTATACTTGCTTTCCATTTAAATTTTTATTCACACAAAAATATAAGAGTTATTGTTATGCAGGCTACTGCATTATTGTAATAATTATATAAGTAATGTCAGTGCATTCGTGAACGTATATTAGATGAGTGACTTTATTAGTATTCTCTGAAATATTGACAAAAATCAAATATTTTTGCTACTTTGAGTTTAATTTCAAGCTACTTCCAGTCCTGAAACCAATCAAAATCTCTATTTCTGTAACATATCTTTCATGCTATCAAATGAAACTAAGAAACTGAGAATAAAACCATAAAAAGCATCCCAAAATACACATCAAAGTCAATATTTTAAACCATACACATAGTCATAGTTTTGTTTTTCCCATCATTCACTGCATGAGGCAGGATTTTTTTTTTTATATGGTGTACACTCACTGCATAGCTCCATTCTGTCATATCTAGGCCAAAATTTACTGCTCACAGCTTACCTGAGAGAGCTGAGCTTATGCCATAGTTCTACGGCACGAACTCTGAGCTCAAAGACGTAGTACTACGGCATGGACCACAAAAGGGTTATTGTAATGATATACAAGATGATGATGATAAAAATTAAGTACTAATTTAACCAACTAAACTGGAAAGGAAAATACAGGAAGAGCATAAGATACATTCTTCTCTGAAATAAGTGGCTCAGGAGTAACTGTAAAGTTATAGCACTGTGATTCTTGTGTTATGGTTAAAGATAAAGATAGATTTTATTTCTTAGCAAAGGTTACAATGTGCAATTACAATTACTACAATATCGCTTGTTCTGCTATCACTACTGCTGTTCCTCAAACAAAGTTTTTGTCAGTCACAGGCAGGAAGGGAAATTATGGGGAGGCTTTGGGGGCTAAAGGAAATTATGGGGAGGTTTTGGGGGCTAAAGGAAATTATGGGGAAGTTTTGGGGGCTGAAGGGAATTATGGGGAGGCTTTGGGGGCTAAAGGAAATTATGGGGAGGCTTTGGGGGCAAAAGGAAATTATGGGGAGGCTTTGGGGGCTAAAGGAAATTATGGGGAGGTTTTGGGGGCTGAAGGGAATTATGGGGAGGCTTTGGGGGCTGAAGGGAATTATGGGGAGACTTTGGCATTGCCACTGCAAGTTGATAATGATAAGTGTAAATTAAATAACATTATAAGTAGAATATGTTTATCTCTGAGTAACCAAACAGTTCTAGTTCATTGTAAATAAAACTAAAACAAAATATCAGGGATGTTTAATTTTTTGTAAAAATAGAGAATGATATTGTTGAGAATATGGTATATGCTGTGGCATGATTTTACAAATTTGTGTGTGTGGGATTTTGAACCTAGCCCAAACTATTCTTGTAATTTCAGTCCCTTCATGGGAGGTTCCTTGATATCATTGAGGGCTCTTGATTCAAGAAATTGGACTTGCCTTTCCGTGTATCAAACCTGAATGTCTCCCATTCTCCCAAGCACTGTATATAATAATAATAGTAATTTCATCAATTCGCAATAAGGTATAGTATTTAAAATTTATTATTTAATCATTAATTATTATAGTATTAGTACAATATGTTAATCATTGTAAACAGATAAGAATGGATTTGCTGAATCCAAGGATGGTGTGTGGGGCCACAATGTAGAGGAGTTCCAACGCAGATTTGACCCAGAGCTGACAGGAGGAGAAGGTCCTCTTCGTCTCAAAAACCTCTATTTTGTGTATTTGCTTGGTGAGTAACAATTTTAACACTGTTAAACATTGCTTAACTCTAAACTAAAGATTTATAAATTACATTTTTTTCTGATTTTGTTCTCTAGGTTTTTTTTTTTTTTTCTCCTTCAGAGTATTTAAGATTGCTCTCAGTTTAACACTTTCATTGTTGTGACCCCTAAAATTAAAAGTACCATCAGTGTCACAATTAACAATAAAAAGAAACTTTCTAAAATAGCAGAGAATCTATTTCTAAATGACACAAAAAATGCAAATTTTATTGTAAAACTTTTTGAATTACTGAGGCGTGAAGTTGGAGGTTGGGAGCACTTTGCACAGCTGCGATTTCACCCACTTTGAGTCTCTCAAAATAATCCAATTCCTTTTTTTTTCAATTGCTGTATACTATAGTAATTCGAGCATCTGAATAATTGCATCATTCATGCAATTTTTTCTGCCTAAACTCAAACTGGCAGGTGTTTAGTATGTTATGGGATAGGAGGTAGGAGTAGATTTGTTTATGTATTATTTTTTCGAAGATTTTAAAGAGCAAAGGCAAGTTAGATATTGGTCAGTAATTATTTAGTTCTGTAGGATTACCTTCTTTGAGGATCAGTGTGACCCTTGCTGTCTTGAGTATGGATGGGAATGTTGAAAATTCAACAGATTTGTTAAATGGTGTTGCAATAATGGGGGATAACACATGAGCTGCTTTTTTTTATACATGATTGGTGGCAAGTTATTTAGGTTTGCTGTCTTGTTTTTTAATGATTTAATTATTACTTGGCCCTATATATAGAGTATGTGGGCAATTACCAGTGAGGTAGTCTTGTGACTCAGTATTTCCTTTTGGGATTTTGTTTGCTAGTTTTGATCCTATAGTAGAAAAGAAAACATTAAGTTTGTCGGCAGTGTCTATAGGCTGTATGTGTGGTTCGTCTGGTTTCACTAAGTTAATCTCTCTGCTTCTAGACAGTTTTGTATAGTCCAAAATTTCAGAGAGAGGTTTTCCAGGTCTTTTTCATATCACCTTTTATTTCATTAAATCTATTTACACAATGCATTTATTTGGACTTCCGTACAGTAGGGCCCCATTTACATGGCAGGTTAAGTTCCAGGCTACTGCTGGAAAGCAGAATGCCATTTTTTTTTCCACTTATGAATGCATATAAATACTAGATAATAAGTTTAAATATAGTATTAAGTTAGCAATACAACTAGGCATTAAAAGCAATAAAAAAGTAAAATACACATATAGTACACTCATTACTTACCTTAAAATATTTGTAGTCTTAATGTAGGGTCAGATGAGTAGTATTTATTGTAAGAAGTCAGGTGTGGTAGGTATGCCAGCCAGGCCAGGCCACCCCAGGCCACCCCACCCACACGTAATATACTACAACATTTAAAGCATCCCAGAGCGATAAAATGCATATACAGTTCACTTGTTACTTACCTTAAAATATTTATATTCTTAATGTAGGGTGAGAGGTGAGTAAACAAAATAAAAAGAATAAACGAGAGAGAGAGAGAGAGAGAGAGAAGAGGATGAGTAAATGAGAGAGGACAGAGTGCAGGGTATGTAAACAAACAGACGAACACGTCTGGTTTTGGTTCATACGCGTTTGTATTATACCATAATACAAATACTTTACATTGTGTATAAGCTGTCTCCATATTGGTACAGTGAAATAAATAAAGAGCAACACTCCCATTCTCATGTAACACCATTTTTAGAAGAATGCCTAGGCATAATAGAGGCTCTCTTTCCACTGCTACCCATTATTGTAAATCCATATACATAATCTCAATGTACTACTTGCAAAGAAATAAATAAATTTGAATTTGAATTTAAAATGATGCTCTGAGTGAAGGCACATGAAAGGAATAATTTTCTACAGTTACCCCCAGTAATACTATTGTGTACACATTTTCCTTGGTGTTGAACTATAGAAAACGTTATTCTTTCCGACAGGACGACTGGAAAAACGTCTCATATTTATGTTATATTATTCTACTGTGGGGTGTATTTATCATGTTTATTGTTAGTTTTGTGTTTATTATTAATTTTGAAAAAATATCTGAGGGATTAATGAAAATGGAAAATTTTACGTAATATAGACTTTTAAATGTGCCTCAAGTGATGATTATTTCTTTTTAAATTGGCGTCCTTGAGACATAGACACTTTACTGATTTTAATGTGTACCTGATGCCAGACAGTGTTATTTTTCGGGGATAGGTACACATAAGTATAATTATCGAGTAGTCAGCCTTTCCTCACTTAGCGATGTATTACTTACCAATGCTTGGACTTACGAGGGCTCTCTGATCAGTATGCATACCAAAAATACAGTTGGCCCCACTTATTGGCAGGTTAGGTTCCCGGGGGGGGGCCCCCATAAAGGGGGAAATTTGCCGAAAGTGGAACACCCTTTTTTTTTCCTTTAAAAGCATACAAATACTGTAACAAGTTTACATAACATATAGTATTAAATTAGCAAAAGAAATAAGCATCAGAAAACAATAAAAAAGTAAAATCACACAGTGCACTCATTATTACTTAAATATTTTTATCTTAAACTAGGGTGAATGAGTAGTATTTATCTAAGAAAATCAAGTGTGGTATGTATGGTAGTCAGCCCGGGGTACCTACAGTCCACCCCCCCCACAATAATATTTATTACATTTAAAATCCAAAGGGGATAAAAAGATATACAGTTTATCATTCTTCCCTTAAAAAATTTGTGTTTAATTAGGGTGAGATGAGTAGTTTTTATTTGTAAGAAATCAAGTTGGTAGGGGATGGTAATCGCCGGGTACCATGCCCGGCCCTTCCCCCACACTTCTTGTACTTAAGCATCCAGAGTGTAAAAAAGCATATACAGTTCATCATTACTTCCTTAAAATATTTGTAGTTTAAAGTAGGGTCAGGAGTGAGTAAACGAAAAAAAACGAATGAGAGAGAGAGGGAGGAGAGAGGGGTGAGTACTGAGGGGAAAAGGCGCGATTAATGTAAAAAAACCAGGCAATGTAATTTTTGTAAAAAAAAGTGTACAATCTGGTTTGTGTAAAAGTTACATTGGTACAATTTCTCTTTACATTGAAACGTAAAATAAATAAAAAAGAACACTTCCATTCTCAGAAACACCAATTTTAAAAGAACTGACGTCTGGGTAAAGGGCATGGAATAAGTCACTGTTGTTTTTTTGGGTTATCCTGGTGCTCTACACATATGATAATTATGTAAACTGTAAAAACTTACTTACTTAAAAAATACGAAAGGAATAATTTTTACGTTACCCCGTAACACATTTTCTCTTATGTTGACTAGAGAAATGTTATTTTTGCTGTCACTTGTACAGTTATCTGGCCCCCACTTCTTTTCTTTTTTTTATTTACTGTGGGGGTATTTTCATCTTTATTTGTTATGCTCATGTTTATTATATAATTTTGAAAAAATATCATGGAGGGTTTAATGAAAAATGTGTATTTTAATGTAATATAGACATTTTATGGGGATCGGTGATTTTTTCTCATCATTCTAAATGGCGTCTTTTGTGCAAGTGTCTGCTACCACATCTATTTTTTATGTTTATTTATTTACTGGGGGGTTTGTTTTATATCTTTTATTTTTATGCCCCCGTGTTTATTATATAATTTTGAAAATATCATGATGGATTAACGAAGATACATGTGAACAGTATTTAGATAAAGCAATGAGAGCATGGGCAATGGGTCAAAGAGTATGGGGTGGGTTTTAAAAATGTAGTGTTAGGTGTTCCAGAAGTTGTGGTTAGGGGAAAAGTGGGTGCAGGAGGGAAGAGGAGCGATTGGTGGAATGATGATGAAAGAGGTAGTAAGGGGAAAAAGTTAGATATGAGAAGTTTTTAAAAGTGAAGTGATGCAAGGGGGGAAAGAGTTACGGAGAGAAGGGGAGGGGTTAAGGGGTGTGAAGCAATGAAAAAAGAGAGCAAAGAGAGAGTGGGTGAGTTTTTCAACAAATTTTGTTGAAAAAAGAAAAGTTTTGGAGTGGATTAACAAGTTGGGAGCCTAAAGAAAAAAAGGGATTTGTCAGTTAAAAAATAGGAGAGGAGAGTTATTAAATGAAGAGTTAGGGGTTTTGGGAAGATGGGGGAAAATTTTTGGGGAATTTTTAAAATGTTGATGAAGTTAGGGAAGCTGTGATTTCGTGTTAGGGAAAGGGGGAATAAATTTTGAGGAGTAGGAAGAGCCAGTTGTGAGTGGGGGGAAAAGTTCGTGGGGCAGTAGGTAAAAAAAAGGGGGTAAGGCAGCCAGGATTGATGGGAAAAAGTTTGAAATTTTTAAAAGCAGGGGGGGATACAGTTTGGAGGGTTTGGGGTGCAATTTATTTAATAAATGTATGGAAGGGATAAGGTATAGGGATTGGCAGGAGCAGAAGTCCTTTTGTATAAAGGAAAAGGGGGACAAAGAGAGTGCAAAAATTATAGGGGATAAGTCTTTTTGAGTTACCGGTAAAGTGTAGGGTAGAGTTTTATTGAAAAAAATTAAAGTTAAGGAGGAAAAATAGGATAGAGATGAAAAGGGGTTTTAGGAAAGGTGGGGGTGGTGGACAGGTGTTTACAGTGAAAATATAAGTGAACGTATTTAGATAAGGCTAAAGAGGTCTTTGTGGCATTTATGGTTTTGGGGAAAAAGGGCGTTTTTGACGGGTGGATAGGGGGGAATGTGGCGATGTTGCAGGTGTATGGTGTGGGAGGTAGGTTATGAAGTAGTGAAGAGTTTTTACGAGGATTGGGCTAAAGTTAGAGCATGTAGGAAAAGGGGGAAAAATTTTTTTCTCAGTAAAAGTAGGCCTTAGACAAGGATGGTGATGTCACCGTGGTTTTTTTAATATATTTTAGAGGGGGTTGAAAGGAAAAGTAAATCGAGGGTTTTGGAAAGAGGCGTGGAGTTAAAAGTAAAAATCACACATAAAGTGGGAGTTGTCCAGTTGCTTTTGTGATGACCTGTGCTTTTGGGGGTTTCTAAAGAGAAGT